GGCTGTAACCAGGCTGTCTCGGCAGTCTGAACCTCTCCCATGCTTGTGTAACTGGAAAACATTGACCTCAGCCACACCGAGATGCAAATAACCCTTAAACTCTTCCTAGAAATGCACTATGTGAACAAAAAATGCCAAAGAATTGCAGAAGGGTGTTTTGTACCATTGCAGTCAATGGCATTCGGTTTAGAGGGGAAAAAAACCAACCCACCAGACTTTAATTAATCACTGGGTTGCCACTTCACCATTGCAACAGAAAACTCACATAACTAGGATTGTCAGGCTGCAGCTCTGGTTTTTTTGCCCACCTGCATACAATTAACAAAGCAGCTAAAAATAAAAGCGATTATTTTGTACAAGACCCAGGACAATCTTGCTGGAGTCATACGCGATGCAGCTTTTCAGTGAACTGAGTGAAACCCAACATCCATACAGCATTTCTCACGGACTGAAGCAGCAGAAGTCATATTTTTCAGCCCATTTCCTGCAGCCCCTAGGCTAGGCATAAACTGAAATGCAATTCCAGCTCACTTTTCTAGCTTGGAGTATTTCCTGCTGGAATGTTTTAAAAAAGCAGGAGACTCAGTGCTGCAGACAGAGGCGCCTTAGCCTGGAAACCCTCAAAACACAATTTAGGTTTCCTTTGTTCTGACCAGCAGTAGATCCAAGAGGATTTAAAGAAGAAACGCAACCTTGTCCTGGCCCCGGAGCGCGGGGCAGAACGCAGCAGTGATCCGTGTTAAACCCCTGCGCAGTCTCGGCTGGCTGCGGGCAGGACACAAACCCAGAGGTGCTGGCACAGGATGTGGTTTCTGCTCCCTGAGCTCCCTGCAGCCTCCCCACAAGCAAACCCTGCTGGGGAGCCTGGCCAGGGCTGCTGCAGCACCCACACAAGCTGTGCACTGACATCAACCCCCATTCCAGCACCTTCCATCCGCTGACCCAGCACCAAGGTTGTTCTAACACATTTTAACTCCCACGTACCAGTCTGTACAGCCCCAGACACGCTGCGTGAGAAAACCGTCTGTCACGAGTATTACAGCAGCAGTCACCAAAGTTCAGAGGCCAGCAGAGCATCTCAGATACTTTAAGGAAACCAACTTTTCTGAGATAGCAAAGTTTTAATATCAAGAGTCTAATTAGGGGCTGAGCTTCATCTCGTATGCTCACAAACTCCATCACATTTTCTATTTATAGTCTATTCCCATGTAATAGTTTTTAATAAGAAATACACCCATGAGTGCTATAGAGCACCTGTTGCCTGGTTTGCTGTGGTTTAACCACACACCTCCTCCATGAGTGCAAGCAGAACCAACGCTGCCTGCACTGCTGGGTACAGAAATGCTCCGAGTGTACGTAAACAAGGCATGTAAAGCATCCGGATTTAGGAAAGTACAAACTGTGAAAACAGATCCCATCAACACCTCCCTGCACAGAGCACAGCGGCTGCTGGTGCATCTGGAGGGGTGCAGAGCCCCAACAGGACACGGCCGACCGGGAATGCAGGAGTTGGTTTGGTTTGGTTTTAAATCTACATTAAAAACAAGGGGGATGAGGAATCTTCCGATTGTAAATGCAATCTTTAAATGTAGGCACATATTCAGTATTAAGATGCTTACTGTTATATTACAGCATTATTTCAATTTTTATTAGCCATTGCAAAAGTAAAATAAATTGCAGATACAGGAATGGATCCATACCTCAAATTCTTCTGCGAGTCTGCAACAGTGGCACCAGTGCCGCTAAAACAAACATCGAAAGGTCGCAGGTGCTTAAAGAACGAGTTTATTGACAATTTCTTCACAAATAAACAGTCTAAAGAAAATTTCAGAAATCTCTAAACTTAGAAATTTTAAAATCTTGTTCTCATTGGCAAAATATTTAAAAAAAAAGTGTAAGATGTCACTGTATTTTTCAGTTTTCCTAATTTCAACATTTTAGTTCAGTCCTTTAATTTTGTAATACATTTCCAACCCTTAAGCACAATGAAAGTGAGTCAAAATACAATTTTCCTTCTGTAAGGGGATCTTAATCAATAGTGTATATATATTTTTTTTCTTGCAAGCATCTCCCCGAATCCTGTCTGCTTAGAACTCGATAGGTGACATCAGCCAGAAATAATTAATAAATATTCCAAGTGAGCCAAATTATCCTGGTATTAATCAAAACCTAGGTTTCCCCAAAACGATACAAAGCATACCATGTCGTACAAGAAACTATCAGCATGCATTTTAGAGGTCATTTTTGTACTTCAGGTATGTGAACTTAAAACAGAAGAGGGACAATTCTGATAAAAATGTACTCAGGTATTTCATAACATTAATATTTATTGCTTTATATGAATACTGTATTGAAAGCCCAAGCATTCAGTTTACACACAGAAATTATACAATTATATACCGTTCCACAATGGCAGTGAGCACTCATTACAATCTACAAAAATCTACTTTACAGAAATTTAAAAATTCTAAATATCAAAAAGGTACAGTTGAAGAAACAGGTATAAATTTGGCAGCCAGTAATTGCGACTGGGAGGTTGCAGCTTGCATGTCTTTAAATATGGGAACTGGAAAATACCGAGAGTTTAAAGCAGTAGTTTGTGCTTTGAGCTGGTTTGAAAAAAAATGTAACACTGGCTGTCAAAGGAGCATGTTCAAAAATATTCAGTTCACGTCCAAAACGTTGTACAAATCATGGCGATTTCTAAGCACCCCTACACCTCAGTCACGGAGCTCAGGTACAGCTACGGCCAGGTGAACTCTTCCAGTACAGAGGTGATCGCAGCGCTGCCGTCTGCTCACCTGGA